ACAGTGTGATAATTTGATACTGATAAAAATCTGGTGTCATGACAATGAAGGACATAATGATGGGCTTAGCTTTAAAAGTGAACATATATCTGGGACCACAGCCGAAGAACAGAATCTGCCTGTCAGTCACAGTAAAATGCTGATTCTCTGGGGACCTCCAGCCTTTGAAGATGAAGATATGAAGATTTCCCATCACATTACAGAAAATTGCAGCATTTGCACTGCCATAGCACGTCTCTGTGCTTCTGGCAACAACCTTTTACTCTTGTATGTTTGTGGTTTGATTGTTTGTGTTGGTTTGTACAGCAAATCCAGTGTTTAGCTGAACACAACAAACTCAAAATTTAGAATTTTTCTTTTGAGCACACTAACACTGGTTTCCAACTCAGACAACAGTATGAGACATTACACTTGTAATGTCCTCTGGCATTTCAGTAAAGAAACATTTGTTCTTAGGCCGCTCGCCTGATTAAATATGAGCTAAAACAAACAATACAGAAACAAGTCCCAAAAATGTCATGGACATTCCAGAGCTCCAGCTCTGAAGTCTGCTTTCTGTGCGTCTGCCGTCAGTTACGGTGGATGAATGCCATGGAATTCTTTGCTCTCTTAAATTAAACCCTTCACCAGGCCCAGCTGGTTCACAAAGTAGAGACAAAGGGAGACGGGGAGGAAAGGGGAGTAGATGGAAAGGAGCAAGAAAATCCATCCTTCACTTCTCACGTTTGGCTTACTCTGGTTGCCGCTATTAACACCTCACGTCTGTTCGGCGCAACCCCTTAGACACGTTTTGGAGATGAAAGAGCGAGAGAAAAGAATAAATTTTGGAGAAACTGGGAGAACAAGAGTAAGATAAAGTGACTGAGAGTCGAAGACAATGTTTTGATTAATGTGTCTTGTATTCCTCTGGTTCTGTAACAGACGATTACCTTACCTAACCCCAATGGTGCATGAGCAAGACGTTTCAGTGTTGAGATTGAAACCAGATATGTCTATTCACACTGGCTCATATCCATCTCTTGTACCGGACCCGAGTTCGAGAACATGACTGGTGACTGAAAGAACTACCCATGCTGTCTGGCCAGTTTTACTTCAGTGTCAGTCTTCAGTTTAAATACCAATGCACATGACATGGCACTACAGGAGGCAGTGGATGTGGCAACCTGTCCTTCATCACATTTTCATTCCTCTTATTTTGTCAGAGGAGGTCTAGACTTGCATTTACTGAGTGTGCCCTCACTGAGATCATTCTTAAACCAGCCACCACATATGAATCACCACTGTTGGGTGCTTCTCAATTATTCACTGCCACACCATCCCAAATTTCACCTTGACAACCTGCTGGTGCACTTGTCACTACACTGTTGTGAGAGCCAGTGGTCTTTTCTGAACGGAAACTGGCCACACTTTTTTTAGAAATCTAAACGGAGGAAACTATGATGCATTGCAGTTCTGCATCGTTTACCTTCCAATTTCCTTGGCCCTTACTCTTCCCTCCTGTGTAGTATTGGGTTTCTGTCCCTTCCATCTTATATTGACCTTTTGTAGGGTTCCTTTGTCCAAGGTCCAAAGGCAGTTGGGGTTTCAAGTGGTCTCTCAGGCTTCCTATTATGTCTTGAGGGTCACAGAGAAAATTAGCCACTACAGTTATGTACAGAAATCCTTCAGCTTGTCAGCAATCAACTAAATACTGGGAGCAGCACCAAAGAAAAGCGATGATTTGATGTCAGGGTCACGGTGCAGTCTTTCCATGTGTGTGGTTCAGGACAACAAACAACAGTGGTGTAGACTTCCAATAATGTGTGAGCTAAGACAGGTCTATTTGTGTGAGCTGATGTGGCGTAATAATAGTAGTCCAACAAAAGCATGCTTGTTTGAGCTGACAAGATGGTGTAAATATGGCTAAACAGAGAACTTTTGTAATAAAACTCTAGCCTCCATCTCCCAAATATACAATCAGTGGATGGGTGCCAAACCGACAAAGGTCCATATTTTGATAGCATGTGCTCTCACTTTCACCCTGAAAATTAGCAACCTCCAGGGTAGTATTTTTTTTTAACTTGAGAGAGTTTTATTTTCCAAGTGTTTAGTGATGTCAGAACTACACAACATAACGCTTCTTTTCCTTTCTTCCTTGTCTAAACCTCGTGTCTGCCCAAGGCCTGCACTCATGCTCACACAGACACGCAGACACACACCCTCTCCGGCTGACTTCTGCGTGTCTGCATCTTGTCTCCTGATCTCAAATCAGAGAGCTCAACGTGGCAGGTACTGGTTGACCCTGAGCACGACTGCCAGAGCCAGGCTGGGTCATGCACATGTGAGCACAGGTGGGCCAGAAGATGGATGAAAGTCTCCACAGTCCTGCCTGTCTTCACTCTCTCTTCATGTTTCTCTTCCAGTGACACGTGTAATCTCTCTGTTGCGCACTGTGCTGTATATTTCCAACACTCATACAAACACCTCACACTGGCCAATGAGACATTCTGTAATCCGGAGGCTAGACCAGACAGTACAAGGAACATTTCAAGACAGAATTTAATAATTTTAAGGGTATTAGGCATCATTCTTGTTTTTTGTCAATCCCTTAACAATTTTTATGGTATGTGGAGCTCACTGATAAAAATGAGACAAATTAAATAGATTTGTTGTGTCAGTGCAAAAGACAGTTGAAAAGGGAAAGCCCTAGATCAGTCAGATTTATATAAGAATTGATTACTGTTGTTATTACTTTGAGGTGTGTATGGGGAGGGTTGAGCAATCAAGGAGAATCGAGCTGAAAATTTTGAAGGAGATGGATTATTGCAAGGGAGCTTAGCTTAGTGTCTGGCCTCGCATTGCATGCTCAGTCTGTTTGCCAAGCCCTTGGCAAGGCCAGTGCCCACATTTGTTTTGACTAGGTCATGAAACTCCACACTTCCATCTTTCTCTCTGTCTCTCCCAGCACATTCCTTCTCCTTGTCAGTATCATTACCTGCACCCTGCAGATTGTTGGACCGCAAACTCTCGTCCTCCAGTCTGATCTGGACCCCCCTCCTCTTTTCAGCTTGTTTCCCATGCTTAGTTGCTCTTCCCCCAGACTTTTTGGCTTACAAGTATTGATGAAAACAAGTTCCTTGGTGGGACTAGCTTGCTGGCAGCATTCAATTTTCTTGTTTAAAAAAACAGTCATTACTCCAACATGTCTGATTGGGGAGCTTGTTCAACTCACAGCTTCTTCTAATACAAGTCTGTGAATCACGTGTCTCATTTGTTATCCCTAGAAAATAGGAATATATCACTTCGGCAGTTATCTGGAGATACTTATCTTCAGCTTAATTTGAATAATCACTCACTTTTTCCATATACTGTATATATATTGAAGTATTAATTATTGTTTAATGTTTGGGAATGTCAGACAAATCAAAGCTTCACAATGTTAGGCAGTGTTTTTTAATGTAATAAACTGCTCTTTTAGTTTTATTTTGGACATTTGTATCATGTTGCTCCCATAGGAAGAGGTGGCAGTTGGTTTTCACTGCTTATTTGCTTTTCTAGTTTATACCAGCCACTAAACCCAAGCAATGCAAGCCTTCAGTTGATTTTTATTATTTTCCAATTAATTAACCAATGGTACCTGTAAATGTACATGTTTCAAGATTTATGGCTGGGATAAAATCATTTGGTGTATTATTCTCTAAATGTGAGCAGGTGGTGAGCATTTTATTCCGCATTCTTTCTTTCTTTCCACACATTTTCCATTATCCTATCTTCTTCTCAAAACTTTTCTGTTCTTGTCAGCAAGCAGAAACCTAAGGTGGGATATGACTTTATCAAAGAGGTGGTATTATGCTTATTTTCAGGTTAAAAAACTTATTTAGAGGTTGTACCAGAACAGGTTTAGATTGTTTACACATTGCATCAGCTCCTCTTTTCACCCTGTGTTTTGAATGCTTCGTTTTAGCTATGGATTGAAACATCTTGCCTGTACATGATCTTTGTTGGGAGTTGCGCATGTGTAGTTCCTAGTTAAGAACTACTAGCCAATCAGAATCAGAGTAGGGCAGGTCGTGAGAAGCCGGTAAACACGGCTTCGGTTCAGCTGTATATCCCCTTACCAGCTTAGTAACCTTAGCAACATATTTCAGAGTGGTGAGTTATTAATCTGTAACAAATGTATCTTTCATCCATAAAGTTTTAACTGAGCTCTGTCTCTACATCACAGTAACAACATTATGTCCATTAAATGCCTGGAGGGTAGCTAGTGTTTGGAAGGGAGAGTAGAGGCAGCAGGCGGACCTCTTATCACTGTGTACTGCACGGTGTTTTTGAGGGCGTGTCCGATTAGATGCTTGGCGAGCGTTATGACATGCATTTTGGTGTGGTGTCACAGGGATGAAAGGGAAATGGCTGAACTACAAATGAGCTGTTTTCAGGCAGTTCAGAGCAGTGTTTTCTGTGGGAGATGGGAAATCCCTTTGTGCTGGACTTTGGGCTTTTTCACTTTGCAAACCTATTACATGCACAAAAGGTATATAACTCAATAAAGGAGAGGGAAAAAGCTAAAAAGCACAATACCACCTCTTTAATGCATCAAGTCAAAACAAAAAGCTTTTGACGCCCATACATTAGTTTGGGGCTTCAGCGAGAAGAGACTGCTCCCTCCAGTGTTTAGAATACAGCATAACCAGATGGTCAACCACTAGATGTTTTTGTCTACCGTGTTTATGAAATCAGTGGGGTTCAGATGAAGCCCAAGGTGCAGTCCTTGGCTCCAGAAACTCAAATGTGAGTGTTTTCCATCAAACTTAATTAAGCACACATGATATTGGGAAATGTTTTGATGAAAGATTGAGTGGTGGGTTATTTTGAAGGGTAATTATGGCTGGATAAATCACTAGTTACTCATTATAGCCACAAGAAGAAGATCTTCTTTTCTTTGACACTCTATGCGCCCGTCTACTCTCACTCTGTCTTTCTCTCTACTCTGCTGCCTGTCTATCATTTTCTTGCCAATCCAGGTTATGGCAATCTAGGAGTCGGTGGTCTTGGAGGTGGTGGCCTGGGAGGTGGAGGCCATGGAGGAGGTGAGTACTGAAACTGGAATTGGTGGTGTGTGCGAGCATAAGTACAACGTTTAGTTGACAGTAGGTTAGAGCATTATATTCCCAGTATAACAACATACATTTTAAACCATACTCATAAGGTTTCACACCATGGGTCTCCAGTGTGTTTGAAATGTGTGTTTGAAGGCTACACTATAAGCAAGCACACTCACCTTTGCCCCTTTGGTTTCATTTAGGATATGGTGGATACGGAGGAGGCACTGGGGGCTTTTTCCCAGGAGTTGGACAGAAGGCTGCCAAAAGAGGTACAGCAGGTGGCAGAAAATGTCTGGATGCAATTGTAACATCAGTTTCCTACAAAGGGAGTGATGCCACCAGTTAATTGGTGCCATTAATTTCATTATTGATTTACAGTGGCAACACAATCATTCTGATAAGGTTCTTTGAGGGTTATTCCCTAAATCTCTTATATTGACAAACTCCTCTGAAATTCTGCATGTCCTAATCACAGGTGCAGGAGGCCCTCTGCTTCCACATGGAGGTAAGCTCATTCTTGGCCTCATGACAGTCTATTGTACAAACTTAAACTGTGCTGAATACTGACTCAAAGCTTTTTCAGACTCTGATAGATCTGCATGCTTGCATGTTATGAGAAAGCCAAAATGAATGTTTTGCATTAATCGTAACTCGACATGAAAAACACTGTTTGGCATACACGTGTAATTTTTTGTCATGTACCTGCAAACCTTGGACAGATTGAACTTGATCTGAGCCCAGTGTGACCTTAAAGTCTGTGCTGTGTAAGTGCACATGATTTGCTTTAAATTAGGCCGGCTGATTAAGCACGGACTCAGGAGGTCCCAATCATGGCCAGAGCTCTACTATGGCAAAGAGCCTACTCTTAAGTATTGGTTGGCAATGACAAAACTTCATACCCTAGAATCAGTTTGTACTATTTTCATGACACTCAAAATAACTATTCATTCCTCAGAAACAGCACAGATAAAATAAAACATTCCCTTGCCAAACCTTTCCTCACCAAATCTCCCGGGCCACATACTTACAGGCAGTGCGCAACGTCTGTCCTACAAAGTATGGAGAATTTAAGATTAAAAATGGTAAAAAATAAAATTAATTAAATTAAAGTTTCAACAAATACACAGTGTGTTTTATCCTGCTGCCAAGCTCCCTTACAAGTGAAGCTGACATCTAATTTCCTGCCCGCATGGATAGCCAAAGAAATGAGGCATTTGATGAGGCAAAGCAAATGCCATGCATGCTGGCTGCTTCTCCTGATTAGATTAAAAGTCAGGCATGTTGCTTTTGATCATGGGGTGATGACAGACTAGTAGGGCCAGATTAGCTGCTCTCAATACCAATGGGCTGTCTAAGGATCTGGCTCCCTGCTGAAGAGGTCAAGTCTGGCACATGCCAAACACTTGCTCATTAAAACTTTACAGTATCACAGGGCCCTCTAGTGGTCATGTTATGTGCAACTAAAGAGTCCTTGTGTTGCAATGTTTTCATTACTCTGATGTTCAAAAGCCAGTATGACCTCAAACCAGAAATTATGTATGTGCTCTTTATATTCAAACAGGGACTGGAGGAAGTGTGCCTGGAGGCACAGGAACTGGAGCTGGAGTTCCTGCTGGAGGCAAGACACACACACATCAGTCTGTCCATTTTCTAATTTTATATTTTATTTTGCGCTGTTAATGTTACCTAGTTACTAGTAGTCATACTGTGATTTCTGCCTCACAATGCCTTGGAACAAGGTGAACCATTCCCTTTAATACTTTAGGAATAGTATGACATTTAATATCTCAAATTGGCTCTTTGTCAGGGACAGTGAGATTGATTTCTCTGAAAAAGAGCCAGTTTGGGCTCCAGTTATAGTACATTTTCTAGTGTAATAAAGTAAAAAATTGAAAGAGACCAGTTAACAGTGTTTTGACTCCTCAGGAGGCAGGAATCACACTTACTGTTAATTGGACACAGCACTTGGCCAAGAAATATGTGCATATGTTTTTAACACTGTACATTTGTCATACTCCGTTCAATGAGCCAAGTATCATTTAATCTTTTTCTTCAGGACCTGTTATTCCTCAGACAGGCCTTCCTGGAGGGGCTGGTGGTGCTGCTGGAAAGAAAGCTGCCAAAGTGCCAGGTTATGTTACTCAACAGTAAATTCACAAGGATGAAGGCAGACAGGATGCAGATCACATCACAGTGCCACATAAAATTAATTTTCCTTCTGGAACATGTTCAGTGTGGTGGAAACTTTTAGGAAAAAATATGTTTAGCATTGATTTAGCATTAATGATGTTTTAAAAACTTTAGGCATGCAGTTTTGAATGTCTTCATGTGAGATTAGCCTTTTGTTAAAATCAGCTTTATCGATATATACCTGTACTTCTAACAAAACCTACATACACTACTGCAAATAAAATAAACTTTATGTTGGACTCCAAACACAGCAGAGTTGATCGTGCTATACACACTACTAAGCTACAATACTAAATGCTAGCCTATGTTCTTATTATAGATGTACTCAAGCTGAGTTACCTTTCAGGAGAAACATCTGCTTCTGTGCTAGCATGAGGCTATGAAAAATGTCCAACATCCAACATTATGATGTCCCTCCAATAGAGGATTTCACTGGTATCAGTGAATCAATGATCAATGAACATGTAGTCACCTGCCTGGTTTTGCTGCATCCTGTCTGGCTCTTGACATGGTAGTGTCATAATGATTTACAGCCATATCATTTTTCATGGTGAATGTTCTCATAAATGTTTGTTTTTTTAATTTAAACTGATTATTGCTGCTCATGCATGCCAGATCCCTCTCACAGTTTTGAATGGGTTAGCGGAAGTGCAGTAATATCCTCTCATTGGCTGTGGCAGGTGTGGGTGTGCCTGGGCTTTACCAAGGTGGACTAGTGCCAGGAAAAGGTTAGCCTCTTTCATAGATTAATCTCAGGCACTATTTGTCACTATTGTCTAAGTGTTTCACTATATGAATGGTCTGTGCTTTTGCAAACAAAAAATGCACAGGGATTTATTATGGTTGTTTTTGGGGATTGGGGGTTGCTTTTGGCTCCATCAGGGTTTAATGGACGTGGAGTTCTGCCTGGGGTGGCCACTGGCACCGACCTGAATTCCAAATCAAGTAAGATTTTGTTTTGTTGGCTAATTTTGACACTATTCTTATTTTATTATTGCCTTTGTTTTGAAAAATGAAAACATGGGAACACGACATGAACACAGCAGTTCTACAGAGGTTAAACATTGGAAAAATATATGATAAAATATGTACACAATACTAAAATAGACAGTACGAAAACAATATCTTGAGTAGAACACATACAAGAACAAAAGATAAATAAAGAATTACGTGAAATTACATTTTCAAAATAGTTAAAAATGGTGGTTGTTGTCAAAGAAATGTTATTGGTCTATACAGCTTATCCAGACCATAATGTTACAGAGTCTGTTAAGTTTTAAGGCCATGGTTCAGTTTGCTGTGTTTGTTTAGTTGCTAAAACTCTGCCTAGTATTTACATTGAAATTTTTATCTTTCATCTGTGTGTCTGATTGGATTGTGTGATTATTCTTATGCAGTTGGAGGGGGAGGACAAGGAGGTCAAGGACCAGGTAACTCTGTTTTTGATTATTGCAGTATTACAAACAAATATATTTGTATTTTGTCAGTATTGTTGGTATTAGCTGATCAGAATTTAAGTTTATTTCCTTTGTCACAGGAGGCCGTGTCTACAATGGACAGATGCAGCCAGGAGTGTTCCATGGATACCCCCTCAAATCACCCCTCAAAGTGCAAGGTGTGACCTTAATCTATACAGTTACTGTTATTCAGAAGTTGCTCTCTTCTCTTCATATGGTATGATATGTTCATAGCTACTGTCTACAATGTTACACTTCTTTTTCTCTCCAGCATACAGATAGTCTTATTCACCTTATGGCATGATAACCAATGGGCACTTTTATGGATATCGCCCTGAGGTTTTCTATGGTGGGTTTATCGCTGGCTGATTTTTAAAGAGAGATGTCTGTCTTTGGGGCCTAAGAAAATTTTTTTCATTTGGTCCCAAAAGCAGAACATTACCTCCACTGCCTGCTTTGTTGAGTTTCCCACAGTAATGCTGCTGTGTTCCTAGTTCTGCAGTGAATGAGAGAATCTCAAACACTGCTACTAAACTTTGCTGCAGTAGAGAAAGCTTGCCGACTCACCAATACCCATCAGGATGTCTTGTATTACCTTGTAAAATGAGGATTTCTAAGTGAATTATGATTGTATTTCTGACTTGTCAAAGCTTGTCATCTATAGTCGTTGCTATGGCGTAAGTCAACAATGATGAAGTGAACGGACCAATGAAAAACACGATGAATATGTGACAGACTTTCTGGATCCACCAGTCCATGCACATACACAAAATGCAGCAAACTTAGCTGTTCACAAACACTCTGAAAAGCATAATTCTGCTGTAGCAAAGCTGTAACTTTTACTGGGACTCACTAACCTCTTCAGTCGTTAAATGTAGTTGTATGTTTTTATATTTTTTAAAGGGATATGGAGTCTCTTCGAGCATTCACGTCAAATTAATGGCATTTGACACAATTCACCTCATCATCTTCTCTCATTTTTCTCTTCAGGTGGCTATGGAGCAAAACCTGGAGGTGGCAAACTACCTTTTGGTACAACTACTTTTTCATATTTTAGCAACTATTTGGCATCAGTGGAAATCCAGGGGTTAATGACGTGTCACATTACAATGTTTCAGGCTACGGTGGCTTTGGTACTGGACTTCCAGTAGGACAAGGTGGCCCTGGGTCAAGGCCTGGTTATCCTGTTGGAACTGGTGTGTATTTTTACGAATGTACTGTGTAATGACATGGAGTAGAAAGGTAGAAAACACCAAAAAATGCCTGACGTATTCTTTTATTTCTGCAGGCGTAGGGCCCGGAGGCATCTCACCTGCTCAGGCTAAAGCTGCCAAATATGGTAGCCTACCACACTCCTTACCAAGACAATGCTTTACTATCAAGACAAACATGATACAAGTTGTGCACAGAACCTCATTTGTGTACATCAACAAATCTATCTTACTAAAGTATATCCTCTCTGCTCCAGGTGTTGGTGGTGTTGGTGGTGTTGGAGGTGTTGGTGGCACTGGTGGCACTGGTGGACTGTATCCAGGGCAGGTGCCAGGAGGTATAATATCTAGCAAAAGACATAAAAAACTAAACTAGTCTATAGTCATGCTAGCGGCCTCATGACTGAAAAGGTTTATTCCACATTAGAAAGCAGAATTGTTGGATGGTGGAAAATAAAAAGACAAATTCGCCATTCTACAGCCTGAAATATCATGTGAAGCCCAGCTATACGTTGTCAGCTGTCATCTGTCAATAAATTAGTACTTTCTTCCAAATATGTCACTCTGAACCAAACCACATGTTTCCCTATGTTTAAATATTTTACAGTATATGGAGCTGGGTCCAAGGCTGCTAAATATGGTGAGACGTTGTCATGTTTTGTGTGTATCATGAAAGCATGTTTAAAATCATATTGTCACAGACCCTTTTCACATTATACATTTACTCATCCTGTAAGCTGAAAAGCTTAATCTTAACAGCTTAATATCACCTTTAGTAAGAGCCTCTCCATTTATATTGACATGTTTGTTCTACTGGTGTTCCCTGGACAGGAGGAGTACCAGGAGGAGTACCAGGAGGTGTACCAGGAGGAGTACCAGGGGGTGTACCAGGAGGAGTACCAGGAGGAGTACCAGGGGGTGCACCTATTGGAGTACCAGGAGGAGGTCCAGGTGGATATTCACCAGCTGCTAAAGCTGCTAAATATGGTATGGTCGACTTAATATTATGTTGCGCCATGAGCAAAATTTTGACTTAACTACAAAATGTTATATAATATAATTATGTTTTGTCTTGCCCTCCCTTGGTCATATGCACTGAAGGACTGGGAGGCACAGGTGGACAGTTAGGAACAGGAGGATATGGAGGACTAGGAGGCACAGGAGGACAGTTAGGAGGATATGGAGGACTGGGAGGAGGTGGAGGATATTCTGCTGCTGCCAAAGCTGCTAAATATGGTAGGGGTGTTTTTTTTTGTCAACTAAAGAGAAAATCCAATAAAAATCAGAAAGATCATTATTTGTTTTGCTTTATTCTAGTCTGTTTTGCAAAATAGATCCTGATCTCAACAACATTACCATGAATAATTAAAGGTTGTATACGTCCTTACTCTCCTTACCACAGCTAACAGCGCTCGTTTGTTTACTTTGTCTCTTGTTCCCCTTCCCTACTGAGCTCAGCCTGCCAGCTGCTGTCAATCAAACACAGACAGCCACTGAGGCCCCATCCACACCACTGCGTTTTCGTTTTAAAACGGAGACCTTTTGTTATGTTTGCACCTCCTGTCCAAACTAAAAGTTTGAAAACGCCTCCGACCCCGTTTTTCGTTTTAAAACTACATGTAGCATTTTTGTGCGAACGAGCAAAAACAGAGGACTTTAGAAATTATGACGCAGACGCTCACATTTGGCTCTCTGATTGGGTCTTTCTTGTCATGCAAAGCAGAAACACAATGCTACTGACAGAGTTTTTGATTTAGTATTTTTTTATTAAAATATCTTGTATCGTGCAAATAACACTTAGCCTATACACTTGCAACAACTCCTAGTCTGTTTTATGCCGCCACAGCCGCTTTTAATGGTCTGATTCTTCCTCTGCATTACTTTATTCTTTCACCAAAGCTTCTGTAACTACAGAAGAGACCATCTGCTTCATGTTTACACCTGCACGTGCATGCCCAGTGTACGTGAACGGCCAATAGATGTGCGTTTTCAGTCGTTTTATTATAGACTGAGATCAACTCTGATACGCAGCTAAAACGCTGTGTGTGTGGATGGAGATCGTATTTGTTTTAAAACTCTGGTGTGGATGGGGCCTAAGAGATGAAAAGGAATATTTCTGATGTTTCTGAAGGTTTTTCCTTAATAATGAAAATGATTCACAAAGAATTATGAAAACATTGACATAATTTGTGACTGCAAAAAGGATGACGTAAAGTGATGAGATGGACTGAAAGTCTAACTGTGAATATGGTCAGCTGTTAGATAGTACATATGACTAAATGTACAATACTATAGCCTGCAGTAACACAACCACCCTATTGTATTTAACCACACAGCTTAACTCATTTTTCACAGGAGTTGGGGGACTGGGAGGAACAGGAGGACTGGGAGGTACTGGAGGATACTCTGCTGCTGCCAAAGCTGCTAAATATGGTAATAATAGAATACTATGATCAAATCTCAGAACTTGTTATTTGTTATGTGGTTACCGTGAAAGGCTCTGGATTCATATCAGCAGTGTCCAGTGATGTGTGAGGCAGAGAATACCAAAGGCCAGGCGGTAGGCCATGAAGGAAACTTAAAAGGGTCTGAGATTAAATAGAGAGCTGAGATCACAAGCAAAAGTCTGACTGTTGTATGGTTTATTTTACTGCTACAAATTTATTGCTACATGTACATAGCAACTTTAAAGTCTTGACAATCCTTAAACCTGGCCTCCAGTCAGTATCTATCATTACAACTTAAATAGAGAATCCTTGATAACACCTTCAGATGCTGAGCCAGTGAAATAGAGGTGATGCTGCATCTGTAGTAAGCATAGAAATAGGAAAACCTTGATTCGGCTGCTGTTTTTATTTTATAGTAGAAAAGGTAGCCATTAAAAAGGTCTGCTCAGGGAAAAAAGTGCATAAAATACTTAATCTAAATTGTTCTAAATACTATTTAATTGCCCTCAAACTCTCTATGAATTTACTATATTAAACCATATCAACAGCTTTACATGGAAATAAATTTGTCTTCCACAGGAGTAGGTGGAGTAGGAGGCACAGGACTGGGAGGAACAGGACTGGGAGGAACAGGACTGGGAGACACAGGACTGGGAGCTGGAGGATACCCTGCTGCTGCTGCTGCTGCTGCTAAAGCTGCTAAATATGGTAACTGGAATTCAACCTCAAATATTACAGACCAAAATCATTGCATTTTTAATAGTGTTTTAAGCGAGAGTGCATGATTACATTATACATTTTTACATTAAAGGTCCAGGTGGTGCAGGGGTTCTTCCAGGTGGTGGTGTAAGTGGAGGAGGAATTCCTGGAAGAGTCCCAATTTTACCAGGATATGGATGTAAGCATGTTCCACAGATTTTTGAGCAATGAGATATTTTATTACTTTGGCAAAATTCTAAGATAATTTTTTCTAATCTGTCCTCTTCTGGGCATGTTGTGTTGCAGCTCTGGGGGCTGGTGCTAAACCTCCTAAATATGGTAAGACTTACCATGTCATTCTCTTTTGCAGTGTGGATCTATTGATTTTTATGTACAGAAGACTATTACATAAATCTAGAGTTGCAAAATTACTCCTTAAAGGCCTTAACAGATTTAATTTGGTTTGCTAAAATGGTAACAGCAGTCACTGACAAATAAATGATGGCAATTGCAATCTTGCATTCATAACAGTGTTAGGGAGATTAGTGCTTTATTAACTCCTCAACAGGAGTCCCAGGACCAGGCCTAGGAGGAGCTGGAGTTCTTGGAGGAGCAGGTCAGGTACTTCCTGGAGGTGGTGGCTATGGTGGTAAGTTGTTAAAGTGATATATCAATGTAGACATAAAGTTGTTGTACAGTGAAAGTGCTTGTGCTGTTTCCTTAATTTTCCTTAATTCAGTTTAATCTAATATGATCTTGAATTGTCACACAAACATTATGTTGCCCGCTCACAGGTTATGGAGCTAATGCAGGAGTGAAACCCCCGAAGTATGGTAAGACCTTTTCTTGAAGCGTCAGTTGTCAGTACCTTTAGTTTACTAATTTAAACAATCATCAGAACTATCTTTAAGGTTTCTGGATTATATTAAAGAGATGAAGATACTAATGTGGTAGGGACTGTTAAAGGGAGGACTACTGCTGTGACAGGGTTAGCAGCAAAACACATTTAAGCCACCTAAAAGAAGGCCCACTAAAAAAAATCTACATCAGTTCAAGTGTATAGTATGTGTTTAATATTTTCTGTACTTTACCAGGCAGCCATGTCCTTTATATGGTGCGCAGCCAAGTTTTGCTTATGCATAGGTTCCACGGCTGAGGCTGCAGGTTTTGGACTGGGGGGCACATGAATCTGCAGTAAAAATAAGCATAAAATGACTGCACATTTTTATTAACAGGAATCTAATGATGCAAACTGCGTTTCAGGAGGAGCTGGAGCAGGGTTAGGAACCGGAGGACATGGGGGGACAGGAGGAGTACCTAGTCTAGTACCAGGACTAGGAGGTGGACAATACTCTGCTGCTGCAAAAGCTGCTAAATATGGTAGGTGAAATAAGCACACAAATATTAAATGTTCAGGCACATTTTTTGTGAACTTTTGTGAATCATATCCTACTTTTATATATACAATATTAGGTTATCATACAATTTACCACACGATTTATCCAACTTGCTCTATTTCCCGGTTCCAGGGTTAGGAACAGGAGGAGGACCTGGAGGAGTTAGACCTGGAGGGGTTGGTGGTGAAGGTACTCTACTGCGTGTTTATGAAAAGAGAGTGAAAGTACAGTTATTTTACCAATGTCATACTCACTATTATTTATTTCAGAATTTATGTGATATCTGACAAAGAGACAAAGTTAAGTGTCATGATGAAGATATTAATATGGGTATGTTTTTATGCAGGATATCCAGGCGGTGTGAAACCACCAAAATATGGTAAGGATAATCTTTAAACTATTCTAATCATTTACAATACAAAAATATTTACATTCCAATAACGATTTGACAGTGACAGTACAATAGACCAATGTCCACTGTTGGATGGAATCATTCATTGCTCCTCCTGAAAGCAAACAATTGTCCAGAGCCTTATGCAGCACTATGCGGCATAAGCTTTCCAGAGGAGGCAATGCCTTTGAGCCTTTCACTTACAAACGACCTTATCCTCTTCTGTTATGGACAGTCCATGACTAACACAGTAGTTCAATAACAAGACACAATTCAGGTTCAGATCAGGCAGGCTGTTCCTCACAATCATGTCTGTTTCTCCAGTGCTAGTTTTCATATCCTGGGGTGAGCATGCCAGGGCCTCTGCCATCCACCTACAACGTGTACCTGACACTAACATCCGTCATAGCATGTTGTTGGACCACATGGTGGTGGCATCATGTCTTCCCTTTGTGTTTGATCATGACTGGACCCCATTGGTGTAGGCTTGGTAATCAGGCACTCATCAGCAAGCTCCCATCCCAGGCCTGGATCCCAAGAGAGGATCTCGGCCACACTACTAGTCGCCATTTCAAATGGGTTTTGGAATATCTCTTAGTCAGAATCTCACCTGACTTAACTCTGTCAAGCCTTGTCGGACAAATTTGCCTTGAGTGATCAGGAGTTATTCCCAATGTAAACCTCTCCACCAATTTATGGTGCTGATTCTCAGCTGCTGATAAATTACGCCTTTTGATAGTTTGGTGTACTCTTCCCATTCACAAACATGAATTACTGTACCTTAGACATACAGGCCATGTTTCTAAATAAGAGTAAACACCAGATTATAGGGTTAGTCCCTGACAATCAAAGATCAAGGGCTCCCATCTAGACTTGCTATTTTGCAGGGATATTCAACCACTAAAAAATCACACTGATGCTTTTATTGTTCTGTTGGTGTTGTCACTTCATCAAAAGAAGAGTTCAAGTCCTCGAAGTCCACAATAGAGTCTCTAGAGAGGCAAGAGTCAGATGCATGTGAGCCAATATTGTTTGCATTTTAGTGAGAGACAGAAGATGTTTGTATTGTAATGGAGCAGATATCAGTGCTGTCAATTTGCTGACCTCGTGTGTGCCTCTCGCAGGGGTCACTGGAGTAGGACTTGGCGTGCCAGGAGCTACTTCACTTACACCTGTCAGTGGTGTTCCAGATGGCTCTGCTGTTGCGGTACCAGGTGGTACAGGTGTTGCTGGAAAACCAGGTAAAGCGATAAAATACAGTTTCTTATTTTCGTAGAAGAGTCTTTTTATACATTTTGCATTGATGCATTGATCTTTTTATTGCTTTTACAGCAAAGGATGGAGGTCCTGTTGTAACCCCCCGACCAGGTACAGTGAAATGACAATACTCTGTATTTCCCAGTGCCTTTTCTGTACACACATTCACACACATATGTTTTTGCATTAGCTATATACAGCATAGGGGAGGAAGAGGGAGAAGCCCCATTTTTCACTTATATTTGGCATTACACTCTAACTTGGGGTGCACCGGTTATGTGGCATCATTTACCCCCACATTTTCATCATCCATTTCCTGTCCACAAAGCTCACATGTTGTTTGTAGTGCTACAAGCAATTGACCCCCTCTGGCTTACAGCCTCCCAGCTGTGGCAGTATTAAGGTCCACCTTACAGCTTCTGCCTTTTCGAGTCTTTCTCACTCCGCACCTACAATGAATGAAACCGGAACCTGTTGTCTTTTGGCAGAGCCCACGCCTATTACCGCAGAGGTCCCACAGACCAGTAAGATTGCTCTTTGCATGAAACCCTTGCTCAGAAAGGGACACCTGTGGTATAATTAATATCAATCAAATTGTAGTTGAGTTGCTACTCTGATATAGTATGGGGCGAGACATATTTTCTTTTCTAAATAAGTGTTTTGCTGGTTTACATCAATGTTTCTGCATCTAGACTATGTCCGACTATGTTTTGAACGGATAGCAGCAGGGTGGGGGGATTACAGTAATAATCTTTACTCATTACCGCTGATGACAGCATTGCCCAGGAACATTGCTCTAAAAGTTGCTCTGTGTATCATTAGCTTAAGTATAAAGAAAATGGTAGTCCCACCACTTTTGGAACCTGCTAATGTTTTTGATCAATTCTGTATGGGATTCCCAGCAGCCTTCTCTACTATATTTATCTGTTTGTTTACATCTACATGTATTTTATTATACGATATACTCATCATTTATTTGACCTGGAATTACAGCATGGGACTTTAAGACCCAAGACACTTTAAGAGAGTTGTTCATCTTCTCAAATACTGTAAAAAAAACTATCTTTAACATACTTAAATGAATTTACTAAGTAGTGTTCTGCTTCATTTTGGGACTGTAAAGACAGGCGACAATTACTTCTTTCAACGTTACACAAGATCTAATAAGTAAATCTGGTGTTTTTTGCCACCAACATTGTGTGGTCTGTCAGACAGACAGAACATTTACATATATAGCTCCTTAAATGCCGGGCTTCATGTAGTGCTGAAAGTGAAGTTGATGTAGCCCGTCTGGTCCCTGCCATGCCCCCATATTATGTCAGTTTGGCCACAGGTTGTCTCTTTTTCTCAGCAGCACTTGTTGTTTCCTTTTTTACTAACAGCTCACTCTGAACTGTGTCAGTAGATTGCTGTTTTGTCTGCTGTCTTGACACGATTTTGTTGTTTGTTTTTATATTGTTTTAAAAGGAGTATGTCTTGTTCCTTGTTTGTTTCTCCCTTCCCTTCCTATTTCAACATGTGAAATTTGGCAAATTTACAGCAACTGTGTTTTTTAAGTATCGTTATTGAACCAAACAGACAAACTATTTAAATTTAACATTTTAAAAGACAATCTAACTAATTTTGCTTTTTTATTCTCTTTTGCACTTTGTACTCTTGTGGTGGATGTGTGAAAACAGGCGGTGGGTTAAAAAAAAATTCATATCATTGCAGTTACAGTACTTCATTTCATTCTACGGTATGCCTCAACCTGTTTTAACCTACTTCATTTCTGACTGTTTTGACAGATTTGGGGGGAATTATTCAGCCTAGTGGTAAGTGGTACTATTTAAATTATATGGTATTGCTTTTTATTTAATCGTTGTACTGATTAAATACTTAGATACGTAGATAGCATAATTTGATAACACGTTTTTTATTTTGCAGGTGGCACCAGTGTAGGTAAATATGTAATTCTATTTTGTTGAAACATACCAAAGAATACTCAACAATCTATCATATGTGACAACACTTACTACGTTGTTTATTTATGTCACAGGAGGAGTAGGTGTTGCACCCTCTGGAGGTAAGAGCAGATCAAATGCACACTTTTGATAACCTCATTGTTCACTTGGTTATGTGAGTTTCATACTTGAACAAAAGCCAGAATAAACAAATGTAAACAGATTATTACAATAAATCAATTACTATATGTAAAAAATCTGTTTCATAATAGTAAGTTTTCCTTTTGACTTATAACAGAATAAGATTTTTTCCTTTTGACAAGCTTTGCTTTTTCCCCAACAGTTTAAAGAGGCTTTATTTCTGTGTTGTGTTTTACTTATTTATAAGTTTTTTTTGTCTTCTGGCTCATTTGTATTAATTAGTTAACCTGCTTTGCAATATGAAATGTTAGATAGTTCATGTATTAGTCTCTTCTCTCCTTTAGTTGCAACTGGAGTCCAACAACCTGGAGGTAGGCCAACTTATCCTTTTATTTATTTAAGAACTTAACATGGTTTTTAGCCCTTGAGCTACAGTATGTTCTGTTATTGAAACTTAATGTGGTAATAGTCCATAATAATCCATCTGGCCACATGGTGGAGACAAAGACTACAGCTGACTGTAATACTAAATACTGCTGTTTTCAGGTGTTGGTGTTGGCACAGGTGGCAAAGCACCTAAACCATTCATTCCAGGTAAAGATGGCTAAAATTTACCCTCAAAAGGACACAAAACTTTGTTCATCCTGTTAAATCTTGTTACTGTAAATCGTGATTAATTTGAAGAATAATGTATAGGCTAACATATTGCAACACAACCTCCTTATTTCGCCCACAGTGCATGAACCATTCATTAAGTTGATCTTGTTCATTCCTTTTCCACAAAATCATCATCAAATCAATTATACATATTATGAATATTCAGTTTTAGCATAAAATAAACTTCACTTATCTGTGTGACTCTGTAGCAGAAGCAGGGCACGGAGGTGTGACTGAAGACTACCTAACCCAACCCAGTGCTTGCAAACATCTACCCACATTTAAACATCTAGATTTATATTTATAAGAGTTTAAAAATTATATAAATATACATCAAAGGGTATTGTAGTTACAAGACTGAATGGTTGCATGGTAACTTCACTACTGCTGTCACTTCCTCCTCTGTCTTTGGGAGCTCTTTCTAAAATATCACACACACAGCAGCTCTGTCAAGCCTCGTCAGTTTCAGTTATCAATACACTTTTTAGGATCCTATTCAATGTTATAGACTACGTTTTTCCCACATTGGTCTGTATTTATCTTACCGTGCATATTCTGTCCACTGGGTTAATGATTCAAACTTGAATCGATAAACACAGCAGTTGATACATACAGTATAGGGAAAAGCTGCATCAGGCTTTTCTCTAACCAATTATACCTCAGATAGACTGAACAGTCATCACTTTTGTGCATCTGCAGGTTTGCAGTTTTAGGTAGCTTTTGCTATTCTGCACTATTTTACCTGTGATGGACATGAGACCAAGTCCGAGGTGTTTTTCTTGCATTTCATATAGTCTGACTCAGTCAAATATCAATATTAATCTTATTGTCCCTGAGTTGGAAATTTGTTCATCTGCCAGAACATAAATATAAGACAATGAAACAAACCAAGTCATGTGAAAAACGCACAGTGTGGGAAAAAGATAAAGTCACAATAAATGTTGCATACACTATGAGTTTCATCATGGATTTGATAAAAATTACAGCCCAATTGATAAATCGGCATTCCGATATTATAGGCTGATATGAGCTGATTGCAGATAAATTGGTATCAATATTTATAATAGCCGATTTATGGCAATTAAAAAAGAAACAGAGAGACTAATCATGTTATGAGTGTTGTTGTTGCCTTGTTTGTCCACCAGAGGGCACTCTGCAACTCCCCTGTTCACAATATGGCACTAATCCACCACAAAACACAGCAATAAACAGACATAATCAGCTGTACCTTTGTTCAAAGAACTATTTATAACAATAAAAAAAATTTAACTGCATTATGTCAAGGTATCTTGGTGAAGTTTCATTACTACATATATATAGTGTATGTTGTGTGATGTGAGCTGGTGTCAATTGTGTTACCCCATTTGAGATTAATAAAGTTTTTCTATTCTATTCTATTCTGTTCTAACAAATGGTAAGAATAATCTTTGTTCATGTTAGGTGTTTCTGAAAAGAAGGGGAAAAAAGAATATTGATCTATATATCAGAAAAATTCAAATATCAAAATTGGTATCAGTCTTAAAAATCACGTATCAGTCTGAAATCTAAAAATAAATAGAGGCAGAGTTGAACTGAGCGGGAAAGATTTACTAAATGGGGACTTCACAACAGTCGATAGTAGATGTTAAAAGCTATATAACATTCTTCTTTCAGGCAAAACCAGATTCATTTTTGTGTCTCTGGCTTTTCCTGAGAAGAGTTTTTTTTTTTTATTCATCTCTGTAATAAGAAATATTTCTCTGGAATGGTTGGAAGTGAGGTTTTTTTTAGAAGTCATTGAAGCTCATCGTAATAGTAAGATGTAGCTGGAGAGGATAAAGCCAGCATGTGCCAGAATAGTAACAAATCTTCTGTTAAATCTTCTGACTTCTGACACCAATCTTCAAACACTTAACTCCAAAGGTGGAGCAGGTTTTGGTCCAGGAGCAGGTGGATATCCTATTGGTGGATCCTATGGAGGCAAGTTCCCTATATTTTCTTTTTAACATGTATAGAGTTAGTGTTTATTGCAGTGACTAATACATCTATCCATTCTGTGCTTTAGTCCCTTATGGTGTTGGTACCGGCACTGGAGTTGGACCTGGAGCTGGAACGTTGCCTGCAGCGAAGCCTTTGAAACCTCCAGGTATGTACTGTAGGTAAATGGCTGACAATGATTTTTTTCAAAATTTCTCTGAAGATGTGTCTGGGACAAATAGATGCTTAAAACAACAAACATTATATTTTTGTTGGTGGAAAACATCATTCTGTGTAGTGACCTTTGAGGAGCATCGGTTTTGTCATAAATCTGTGGAAAGGACAACAGACAACAATTCAATTCAATTCAATTTTATTTATATAGCGCCAAATCACAACAACAGTTATCTCACAGCGCTTTTCATAAAAGAGCAGGTCTAGATCATACTCTGTGATGTTATTTACAGAAGCCCAACAATTCCCACCAAGAGCAAGCACTAGGTGACAGAGGCAAGGAAAAACTTCCTTTTAAGAGGCAGAAACCTCGAGTAGAACCATGGCTCAGGGTGGGCGGCCATCTGCCTCGACCGGTTGGGGGTGAAGGAGAGAGAGAGAGGGATGGAAGGAGAGAGAGGGGATGGAGGCAGCCTACACAATATACACACACAGAGGTACAGACAGTAAAGGTAATGTTGCTATAGACTAAATGAAAAATGGTATAGATATGTATAGTAGTGTTAATGATAACAATCGTAATGTTAATGATTATAATAACAATAATAACAATAGGACTAGTAACAATAGTTGTTGTAGCAGAGGGTGTCGAGCAGGAACACGGGGGCAGCAGGTGACCCACAGCCACAGATCCAGACTCCACAGCTCCAGAGCCAGAAACACCTGCAGGAAGTGATAGGAGGAGAGAGGAGAGGGACGAGAAAGCACAAGACTACCGGAAAGGGGAGAAGTTGTGTTAGTAACATGCAATAATGGGATGAGGTTGCATATAGAGGGAGAGAAAGTAGAGGAGAGAGGAGCTCAGTACATCATAGGAAATCCCCCAGCAGTCTAGGCCTATAGCAGCATAACTAAGGGATGGTTCAGGACTCAGCTGAGCCAGCCCTAACTATAAGCTTTATCAAAGAGGAAAGTCTTAAGCCTACTCTTAAATGTGGAGATGGTGTCTGCCTCCTGAACCCAAACTGGAACCTGGTTCCACTGGAGAGGAGCTTGATAGCTGAACGCTCTGGCTCCTAGTCTACTTTTGGAGACTCTAGGAACCACAAGTAACCCTGCATTCTGGGAGCGCAGTGCTCTGGTGGGGTAGTAAGGTACTATGAGCTCTTTAAGATAAGATGGTGCCTGACCATTAAGAGCTTTGTAGGTAAGAAGATTGATTTTAAATTATATTCTGGATTTTACAGGAAGCCAATGCAGAGAAGCTAAGACAGGAGAAATATGATCTCTTTTCCTGGTTCGTGTCAGAACACGTGCTGCAGCATTCTGGATCAGCTGAAGAGTCTTAATGGACTTTTTCGAGCAGCCTGATAATAAGGAATTGCAGTAATCCAGCCTAGAAGTAACAAACGCATGGACTAGTTTTTCTGCAAAATTTTTAGACAGGATGATCCTGATTTTCGCAATATTACGTAGGTGAAAAAAGGCGGTCCTTGAATTTTGCTTAATGCGAGACTTAAACAACATGTCCTGATCAAAGATAACTTTAGGTTACTTGCGTAACCCCGGTTCTCAGAGTAGCATGAGTGAGATGTCTCACTATGGGATGCGCCTCCCCGCGTATTCCTCAGAAGCATTTATCTCATTACGCCAATCCTGATTGGCTGGTGATCGTAGTGTCTGCATCTAGTGGACCCACCTACCCTTAAATAGCTTACGCTACAACGCAGACACCATTCAAAATAAACACCTCTTCTCGCTTCGCCCCAGCAAGAAGGGCTGTCTGGTGAGACATCTCACTCATGCTACTCTGAGAACCGGGGTTACGCAAGTAACCTAAAGTTCTCATTCATAGCATTCATTTCGATGTATCACTATGGGATATGGAGACTCCCGAATTGCCAGACAAGCTTATCTCAACAACCACCGGCTCTCAGGAAGCAGCACTCTGTTCCAGCGAAGGCCCTGTGCTCAGCACTGCATGCGCCACACTCTGAGCCGAGACATCCAGTTTATAAAACCGGGCAAAGGTGAGGGGCGAGGACCACCTCGCCACCGCACAAATGTCCTGGATAGGGACCCCCTTAAACAGGGCCCAGGATGCAGCCACGAGTTGAGTGAGCCCGTAGGCCTGGCGGAGCATCCACGCCAAGAGGCGCATCTGGATTGAGTATTGAGAAAAACAGCGGACACTGCGCATTGACTCTCGAAGCGAACAGGTCCACCTCGGCCCGGCCATAACGCGACCACACTTGCCTTACAATGGCTGGGTGCAGAGCCCAGTTGCCGTATAGTGGTACGCCCCTGGACAGCAGGTCCGCGGCCAGGTTCAGAAACCCGGGGACATGTGTCGCCCTCAGAGACAGGAGACTCTTGCTGCTCCATAATATCAGTTTGCGTGCCAGCACGTGCAACTGATGGGAATGCAACCCCCCCTGACGGTTTATATACGCTACCGTAGTCGTATTGTCCATCCTCACCAGGACATGATGCCCGCTGAGAAACGGAAGAAAACGCCTCCAGGTAAGAAACACTGCCAAAAGCTCCAGGTAATTTATGTGCGTGCGCCGGAGATTTTCGCTCCAGGCGCCCCTCACAGACCGGCCCTCGTGTGTTCCTCCCCAGCCCGACAAACTTGCGTCCGTGGTGACCACCTTCCGTGACAGGACGACGCCCAAGGGCACCCCCTGTCCAACAGTCCAAGCAGACCGGGGGGGAAACACAGTTTGGGGCCAGACAGGGGATCCTCAAGCATGCAGCCAGAGGGCAAGAAGGCAACAGAGTTCGGAAGGTCGTCTGAGCAGGCCAGGGGGACAAAAAAGTTCAGGAAGTCTCCCCGGGGGCGACTCATGAGGCCGGCCAAATCAAGGGGGCAAAACTGTTCGGGAGGTTGTCCCGGAGGGCGACCCAGACGGCCGTGCAGAGCAGAGGGAAAACAGAGTTCAGGAGGTCGCCCGGGGGGGTGACCTAACAGGCCGGGGAGATCAGGGAAGCAACAATGTTCAGGAGGTCGCCTGGGAGGACGACCCAACTGGGCGGGAAGACCAGCAGGGTCCACAGAGTTCAGGTGGCTGTCCCGGAGTACGGCCCTGGAGGCCGTGCACAGTTCAGGGGGACGGCAGGAAGGCCAACAAAGAGGCTGGAAACCCACTGGAGGCCAAGCGGGGGACCTGCAAAGGTGGCGAATCCTCCCCGAAGGCCGGCGGCGAAGGCAAGACCTCTCTGGAGGCCGGGCAGGGGGCCGGCGGCGAAGGCGAGACCTCTCTGGAGGCCGGGCAGGGGTTGCAGATGACGGAAGGGACCCACCAGAGGCCGAAGAAGGCGAGGCTTCTCCAAAGGTCGGGCCGGGGACTGGCGTAGGGAGCCTTGGGTCTCCAGTGGCAGAGCAGGGCCAAGACTGCTGGGCCGCTGACCATGGACCGGACACGAGGAGCTGGAGTCGGTCTGACCACCGGCTGGACAGCTGGGCCGCTGACCAAGGACCGGACACGAGGAGCTGGAGTTGGTCTGACCACCGACTGGACAGCTGGGCTTCGGACCATGGACCGGACACGAGGAGCTGGAGTCGGCTGGACCACCGCTGAAGTAAAAACCGCTCTGACTTCGTTCGGGAGGCACTACACATATCGCTCTCTTTTCTAACAGCGAGACATTTTCCTCCTGTAGAATACAAGCTGACTCCCCCTGAGCCTGGGACAGCGAATTGAAGCCTGTAACCCCTTGATATCATTCTCAGCACTCAGGCCGAAGTCGTGAGCGCCGCCCACCTTTCCCTCATCAGCGAGAGAGGGGTGGCAGCCCCCGGTGTGTCTTCCCCACTGCGCAACGTCAATAATGCCGTTATGGGGCCATCTAGCGGCGGGGTGCGAGCGTGACCCCTGGTCGACACTGCGCATGCGCGAGGTGTTTGTGCACCGACGGAGTTGGCAGCGTCCCGCATCCTGAAGGGAGCCGTAGCTCTCCTCGGGAGCGGTGAGGCTGCCGAACCGCTTATTGTTTGCCGGTGCCTCTCTGGCACTGCACGCCACAGCGGGGAGTCGGGGGGGGGGGCGGGAAAGCTCCGGAATCGCACTCCGGAACTAAAGCTAGCTTGGCGTGCTAGCCATCGTCGAAGACTCTTCAGGGTGATGCAGGCGCAGTGCCTGCATGAACCGGGGGCTTCAATGGCCAAGCGGGCGTGTTCCAGCCCGAGGCAGGAAGAGCAGACCTGGTGTGTGTCCCTGCTCGAAATTTTATTCCCGCAGTGGCAGAGCCGAGCCCCTGGATCACCGTCTCCTCTGGTGTGAGGGGGATTAGTGTCCATCTTCGATAGCTGGAGTGCTAATTAAGAAGAACGTCGTATTAGCTGGTGTGCTAACACGTACCTTACCGTGAAACAGCTTGGCGGGTAATGCTCCGGTCTGTGGTGAGACCGAAGAGTCGAAGCGTGTCGAAGGCAGCTAGTGCCCGGCGACTGAGATGTCAGCTCTTATCTGTGGACAGTTAAGCTAGCTAGCCCGTACGACAGATCGAGATATGCACCGAAGCGAGAAGAGGTGTTTGAATGGTGTCTGCGTTTTAGCGTAAGCTATTTAAGGGTAGGTGGGTCCACTAGACGCAGAGACCATGATCACCAGCCAATCAGGACTGGCGTAATGAGATAAATGCTTCTGAGGAATTTGCGGGGAGGTGCATCCCATAGTAAGACATCGAAACGAATGCTATGAATGAGAACTCCAAGATTCGTCACAGTGGTGCTGGAGGCCAGGGCGATGCCATCAAGGGAAACTGTATCTTTAAATAATGCGTCACGGAGGTGCTTAGGCCCCAGAACAATAACTTCAGTTTTATCTGAGTTTAACATTAGAAAATTACAGGTCATCCAGGTTTTAACATCCTGAAGGCACATTTGAAGTTTAGCTAACTGATGAGTTTCATCTGGTTTGATCGATAGATATAACTGAGAATCATCTGCATAACAATGAAAGTTTATAGAACATTTCCTGATAATTTTGCCTAACGGAAGCATATATAAAGTCAAGAGGATTGGTCAGAGGACAGATCCTTGTGGAACTCCATGACTAACTTTGGCATGCATGGAGGACTCATCGTTAACATGTACAAACTGAAATCGATCTGATAAATAGGACTTAAACCAGCTTAGAGCGGTTCCTTTAATGCCAGTGAAATGTTCCAGTCTCTGCAATAGGATCTGATGGTCAATGGTATCAAATGCAGCACTAAGATCTAATAAAACCAGTACAGAAACAAGTCCTTTGTCAGATGCAATGAGGAGGTCATTAGTAATTTTCACCAGTGCTGTCTCTGTGCTATGATGAGCTCTAAATCCTGACCGAAAATCCTCAAATAAACTATTGCTCTGTAGAAAGTCACACAGCTGTTTAGCAACTGCTTTCTCCAGGACCTTAGAGAGAAATGGATAGATATAGGTCTATAGTTGGCTAAAACATCCGGATCAAGTTTGGGCTTTTTCAGAAGAGGTTTAATTACAGCTACTTTAAAGTACTGTGGTACATAGCCTGTTGATAAAGATAGATTGATCATATCTAGTATAGAAGTGCTGACTAAGGGTAAAACTTCTTTAAGCAACCTAGTCGGGATGGGGTCTAAGAGGCAGGTTGATGGTTTAGATGAAGAAATTATTGAAGTTAGTTGGTAAAGGTTGAGGGAAGCAAAACAGTCTAAACATATATCTGGTTCTACAGCTGTTTCTAAGGTTCCTGAGTTTAGAGATAAGTTGGTGCCAGTTGAGGGCAGGTCTTGGTGAATTTTGTTTCTAATAGTTAGAATTTTATCATTAAAGAAGCTCATGAAGTCGTAACTACTGAGAGCTATGGGAATACTTGGCTCAATAGAGCTGTGACTCTCTGTCAGCCTGGCTACAGTGCTGAAAAGAAACCTGGGGTTGTTCCTATTTTCCTCTATTAATGACGTGTAGTAAGCTGCTCTTGCCAAATTAAACGAGAATTTTCTAGTTTGGTGGAACGCCAATTCCTCTCAAGTTTCCGCAATATTTGCTTTAATTTGTGAGTTTCAGTATTATTCCATGGAGCTAACCGTCTATGTTTTATTATTTTCTTTTTTAGAGGGGCTACAGAGTCGAGTGTCATTCGCAGCGAGCCTGCTGCACTATCAACAAGATGATCGATTTGGGAGGGACTGAAATTAGCATAGGAGTTCTCCGTTACTTTGTGACTTGATAATGAATTTAGAGCTGATGGAATCGCATCCTTAAATTTAGCTACAGCACTATCAGACAGACATCTTGTATAGAAATTTTTGCCCAATGGCGTGTAGTTCAGCAATACAAACTCAAAAGTTATCAAACAGTGGTCGGATAAAGAGGGATTCTGTGGGAACACTATTAAATTTTCAATTTCAATACCATATACCAAAACAAGGTCGAGGGTGTGGTTAAAACAGTGAGTCGGTTCATGAACACTCTGAGAAAAGCCAATGGAATCTAATAGAGAGATAAACGCAGTACTGAAGATGTCATTCTCAATGTCCACATGAATATTAAAATCCCCTACAATAATAACTGTCCGTTTTAAGGACTAAAGTTGACAAAAACTCTGCAAATTCAGATAAGAATTCAGAGTACGGACCAGGTGCTCGGTACACTATAACGAAAAGAATTGGTTGCAGTGATTTCCAACTTGGGTGCGAAAGACTAAGAACAAGGCTTTCAAATGAGTTATAATTTAGTATAAGTTTAGAGCTGATTAGTAGGCTAGAGTCGAAGATAACAGAATGGAGCCATTTAACTTAAGCAGGTGGGGGGGGGGGGGGAGCAAGAAGGCTTTAGATCCAGATGATTCTTTACCCTTTTATCCTGTTTTCTGGACTAGGAGGTGGAGCCATCTGCCAACTTCCAGGTAACACAGGAGGAAAGAAAGGACAGGAAACCTGAACTATCGCTTCCTCCTAAAGGCTAACTTATACTTCTGCGTCAAATCGATGGCGTTTGGGGGTGTAATTGCAGAATGACGGATACACCAACACACAAGTATAAATGCATGGCTACGTGCGTAGCCTACGGCGTAGGTATGCACGTAGACCCTAGAGCTGAGTGCACAAAAAAAGGGAGACTACTGCAGAATGACAGGAACATTTACCTTCCCCAATTTATTAAGATTCTTTATCCAACTGAAGAGATAAAAATATGGATAATGCTCAATAGCCCTACAAGTTTTATTGTACCCCTTCTCTCCTTCCCTTTATGACACTTTCACCTAAACACAATGAAGTTCACCTACTGCACACTATGTGGGATTCTGTGCAATCTCCCATACAAATACATGATTTCTTACCATTTTGCTAGTTTACACAGAAGAGAGATTGTAATCGCTGAATTTATCAATTTGTCTCTAAATAAATTTCTGTTTGATTGCATGCTAGTTTCAGTACTTCATTTTTTTTTTGGTTAAATTTTTTCAATTAAATTAATTTTATTTATATAGCGCCAAATCACAACAACAATTATCTCATTGGGCTTTTCATAGAAGAGCAGGTCTAGACCATACACTCTGTGATATTATTTACAGGAACCCAACAATTCCTACCAAGAGAAAGCACTAGGCGACAGAGGCAAGGAAAAGCTTCCTTTTAAGAGGCAGAAACCTCATTCAGAACCATGACTCAGGGTGGGCGGCCATCTGCCTTGACTGCCTTTTTGTTTTGGTGGTGTTTTTACTTTTTTTATATGTGAAAGCTCATAGTTTGTTGTGTCTTGATTTTTCTGTTGTAGTGGGTGGAGCAGGAATCCCACTGGCAGCAGGAGGATATCAAGGTCAGAACACACCTACATTTCTTTTAATTAATTTTTGTGAACCCTAAGAACACTGGACAGCAGGTGTCAGTGAACAGGGAAACGTGAGGCATGAAAAACAGAAATACTCCATATTTCCCTTTTCAACATAAAATCATTTAAATTGTTTAATCATTACCATGGATTTGTGGATGAGCCAGCCCCCACAACACAAACTGTAGGCGATTACTTGACCTACCAGACAATAATGCTGCTTTTTTCTGTCATCACGATTCAGGGGGATACTGGCCATATCATCATGGTTATGGGCAGGGTATGTATGAGAGGAAAATAGGCCGATTGCAGCACAAATACACAATGTTCCCCCAGCTTAAAAAAAATCCCAAAATGTTCCGCCCAGTGCTCAAAGTGACAGTTGGTCAGGAGATGCCATCGCATTGCACTTCCTGCACAGGAAATTGGCCAACATGCTGATAAGTTTCCTTGTGGGGCATAGTGTCAGGAATGAGAAGCCAGCTCAATTCTTTGATGGAAGAAATCAACTGTTTTTTTAGTGGATGCAGTCTTTCTTTACGTGTTTATCTAGACCATTTAAGACTTTATATCGCCCCATTTAAGCCAGTCGTCTGTCTGTTGTGACAGGTGGGTTGACGTATCCCTCTGCAGTTGGACTGGGAGGTGCTGGTGGTGGAGCTAAAGCACCCAAACCAGGTAGTGTAACAAGCCTGTTACTGTTACAGCACATAGAAACACAATTCATATATTTTGAGTCTTGATTTTCTGACAAGCCCATTTGGTAAAAGCAGCACTAATAATAGTGAAGTGTAGCTTGTAGGACTTCAGTAGCTTGGAGAAACTCTTGAGTGGGACAGCTGGCAAACGCTGGACATGAAGTCTCGGCTCATATTCGACTGAGAAATCATAAGGAATATGCATTGACCAATGAAGCTGGTTTGACAAGAGCAAAATATGATACGCTAGTTATGTAGCCAAAAGTGATATAAAATCCAGCTCTTCCAACAACAGTAATCCCTGCAGTGTTTGAGTACTGTTAGGAGTTGGTAAATGGAGCAAGTGAACAACACAGCATGATTACTGTTAGTAATACTGCAACATCAAAGTGTGACTGTTTGAAGATAACACAAACCTCTGGAGAGTCCTGCCCTGAAATAGTAAAAGGTCTGCCAGAGGAAGTTTGGATGAGGTTGTTACTGTGACCTCAGCTAAGCCACTGACTGCATTTCACTTCAGGCAAGGGGAGAAATGGCAACAACTATAGGAACAGAAACACTGGTAATAAGCCATACTTACTTCTCACAAAATCATAAGAATAGACACAGTATCATGATTTGTTTATTTGCTTTTCATTTGAACAGGCTATGGCAACCTCGGAGGTGGCATTGGATATCAGCCAGGTATCATCCTCCTGTTTTATCCCCTTTTTCTTTGCGTTCACAAATGTCACAAATGTTTTTTTATACACAATAGTGGGTGATTATTACACACGCTTGACTTCAGCTGTCCACAACACACTTAACACTTCGTGCAGTGTAGCTTCTGATCCTCTCCTCCTTCTCCTGCTCTTCCTCTGCCCATCAGTGAGGGCTGAATGTAATCGCACAAGAACAGCCGACAGTGCAGCCTCCTCTCACTGCCCGCTGTATAGCACTAGCCAGCCATTAACACTCATGGTCGTAATCCTTCTCCCAATGAGCGGATATTTGTCTGTGTGAAATGCCTCCACAGATGGATCACTTTCCACTTTTGCCCGCACAGGGAGAGGTTTGCCAAATGGAGAATAATTATTGTCTTCTTGAAAATTAGGTCAAGTGGTCATATTCACTGTACATATTGTATGTATGGCTTTGTTGTTGTAGTTGTTACTACATTGTTTACCGCAAAACTTCAATCAATAGCCCGGGCTTTTATTTGCTTGAAACACTAAACTCACCCTGCCTGTATTTGGGGCAGGTGTCTATGCCTTTAATTTCTTGACCATGCCCATAAATCAGAATGAATTACACTTTGGTGATCATTGTTTCCGTAAAATGACCTAAACAAATCAATTGTGGAGAATCTAACTGATCTAACGATGTGAAAATATTTATAATGGTATGCACGATCTAAGCAGCTTAGAATTAGGTCAAGCAGGTGGTCTTTAAGATGTTTTATACATCCTAAATGACCTGGGTTTTTCTGTCAAAACGTGGAGACACCAGGCCATAAAAAGGGACTGACATTTAATTGGGAAGTTTTACAGTATTTACAATTCACATTCAGGACTCGATGAGACCTGATGACATTTAATGCTACTGGATTTCCTGACATCATTAATTATTCTATTAATAAACTCATATTGTCAGGTTACACACTTCGGACATTTTTCTGTCAATGGATTTGTTAAGTCTCAACGGTAACTGCTTTTTAATTTTATAGGTGGGGTCCCTGTGGTTCCAGGTTATGGAGGAGGTTACCCCCAACAGTACTACCAAGGTACTAGTACTGCTACATTTGCTTGGCGCATGTCAGTGCTTGCGCTTGCCAACCAGGATTTTTTTTAATTTTCTCTGCAGATGAGCCTGTGACAGATACAGAATACAACAAAATTATATTCATGTGGGTGGTAAACATCATTCTGTGCAGTGACCTTTGAGGAGCATCAGTTGTGTCATAAATCAGTGGACAGGGCGACAGATGACAGAATAGAGCCATTTATCTTAAGCAGGTGGAGGCAAAAGAAGAGACAGTAGTGGGATGCTTTTATATCTCGGTGGGGACTTTAACGTGAATGCACACTAACCGATGGGGACACCACCAGAGATGCTGTTTGAGGGTCATGTGTGGTTGTTTAGGAGAGCTGATTCTTGCAACAACAAAAAATAAACAAAACACAAGATATGGTTTTGACAAAGTAAATATGACTTATTTTGGTTTAATAGAGATTAAATTTGGTTTAATTTTGATTTGATTAGTTTTCTACTTTCTGCTCCATAAAGTATTCAGAACAACAATTTAAGATTCTTCATCCAACTGAAGAGATGTTAAAAATATTAGTTTATGGCTCATTAGCCCTACAAGTTATATTGTCCCCCTTCTCTCCTTCCCTTTATGACACTTTCACCTAAACACTAAGATGCTCCCCTTCTGCACACTTTAATCTCTCACACAAATACATGAATTAATACCATTTTGCTAGTTTACATACAGTAGAGAGATTGCAATTGCTCAATTAATCTCCAATTCAATTTTGAGAAGTCCAGAATTTTTGTGATGAGGTTATTAAATATGATCATGAAAACATAAAACTCTTATTACATAGTTATTATAGAAATTATTCATTTTCACTTTATTCTTTCGCTCATGCAAGCAAAAGGGGGCTTTGCACTTTTAACATAAATGTATTTCTAATTCTCACTCTCTCAACTTGTAAACACACACATGGGAGGCTGACTTTGCATGAGGGAATTAAATTGTGTTTGAATGAAGGTGATCTGCGTTTTTCTCCTCCGAGCAAAGTATGGAGAGATTAATAAGATTACTACAGACAGGGGAGCAAATAATATTGATATTGATGTTTAATACAATCTTTTTCCCATTTGCAAAATTAATCTGAAGAAAATTAGGCTGTGCAGTCTGTGTCAGAGCTCACTTTATTAAAATTTCAGAAGCGTAAATGGGCAAAACCACCTGCGCTTTCCCTCTACCAAACTAAGGGTACTCATTTGTGTCTTTTAAATGCAAATCACAGACAGGAAAACTGTACGTTTAAGTCTGGTTGCTTGAATACATTGAGAGCATCTCGGGATCAGACAGCTCAGCACCAGATCTAAGTGCCTCCCATGTGATCTACTCTAATGTCAGCAGTTTCTCCTTACCACATCCTGGCCAGGACAAATTTATCAGCCACCGTGATAGATCCAAAGTGGTTCCTTCTTAACATTAGTGCTAATTACACTATCTCATCTCCCCTTTGTCTTTAATGTTGTCTAGGTGGATATGTACCAGCCCCACTGACTCCTCAACAAGGTACCAAACACCCACCTCCTCACATCTCCACATGCACCTAAAGAGAAATAATACCACGTTATGATAATAAATTGTTTCAGTCACAGATTGTCCCCTGTACCTCAACCAATTTTTCCAATTTCTCTGTCTGTCTGTTGGCAATAGAGGGCAACATGTCAGATTAGTTGGATGAGTTTAAAAAAGGTCGTGGGATGGTACTGAGTGTTCTGTCTATGCAGATGGCACGGCACAACCAGTATGAACACATGATGATCTGCATTTTCCTGAACATTTGAGATTACTGCTGGCAGGATTATTTCAAATAAAGCACGTCTGGTTTCCCATGTAACTGCTATGTTTTTGTCTCTGTCTGTTGAGTGCCTTTAAATGTGAAGGAAAGTAGATGGTTGACTCTTCTGCAAATAGGAATTTACAAAATCCAAATGAAAGAAGGCTCAGTTTAGAGTGAAATACCGTCATTATATAAATTCACATACAGGTGCTGGTCATATAATTAGAATATCATCAAAAAGTTGATTTATTTCAGTAATTCCATTCAAAAAGTGAAACTTGGATATTATATTCATTCATTACACACAGACTGATATATTTCAAATGTTTATTTCATTTAATTTTGATGATTAAAACTGACAACTAATGAAAATCCCAAATTCAGTATCTCTGAAAATTAGAATAATACTTAAGACCAATACAAAAAAAGGATTTTTAGAAATGTTGGCCAACTGAAAAGTATGAACATGAAAAGTATGAGCATGTACAGCACTCAATACTTAGTTGGGGCTCCTTTTGGCTGAATTACTGCAGCAATGCGGCGTAGCATGGAGTCGTGGAGACTGTGTGCAGGTGCCAAGTCCTGTTGGAAAAGGAAATCTGCATCTCCATAAAGTTGGTCAGCAGCAGGAAGTATGAAGTGCTCTAAAACTTCCTGGTAGACGGCTGCGTTGACCTTGGACCTCAGAAAACACAGTGGACCAACACCAGCAGATGACATGGCACCCCAAAACCATCACTGACTGTGGAAACTTTACACTGGACTTCAAGCAACGTGGATTCTGTGCCTCTCCTCTCTTCCTCCAGACTCTGGGACCTTGATTTCCAAAGGAAATGCAAAATTTACTTTCATCAGAGAACATAACTTTGACGCTTCTGACGCTGTGTCTTGTTCAAGAGTGGCTTGACACAAGGAATGCGACAGCTGACACCCATGTCTTGCATACGTCTGTGTGTGGTGGTTCTTGAAGCACTGACTCCAGCCGCAGTCCACTCTTTGTGAATCTCCCCCACATTTTTGAATGGGTTTTGTTTCACAATCCTCTCCAGGGTGCGGTTATCCCTATTGCTTGTACACTTTTTTCTACCAGATCTTTTCCTTCCCTTCACCTCTCTATTAATGTGCTTGGACACAGAGCTCTGTGAACAGCCAGCCTCTTTAGCAATGACCTTTTGTGTCTTGCCCTCCTTGTGCAAGGTGTCAATGGTCATCTTTTGTACAGCTGTCAAGTCAGCAGTCTTCCCCATGATTGTGTAGCCTACAGAACTAGACTGAGAGACCATTTAAAGGCCTTTGCAGGTGTTTTGAGTTAATTAGCTGATTAGAGTGTGGCACCAGGTGTCTTCAATATTGAACCTTTTCACAATATTCTAATTTTCTGAGATACTGATTTGGGGGTTTTCATTAGTTGTCAGTTATAATCATCAAAATTAAAAGGAAAGAACACTTGAAATATATCATTCTGTGTGGAATGAATGTATACATTATACAAGTTTCACTTTTTCAATGGAATTACTGAAATAAATCAACCTTCTGATGATATTCTAATTATATGACCAGCACCTGTACAGTCTTGTCTTATCCTTGTACTTTTAAATGTCACAAGGATATGAAATCTGGTGGTGCTCCGTTTACCCTGATGTTATCGGTCCGTAAGATTTTTGTGTGAGCCAGTGAAACAGTCTACAGTCTGATTTATAACTGTCAGTAGTGGAAATGATGTACCATGGTGTGACAATTCAACTTCACATTTTATGGCATTTATGTATAAGCAGCTCTTTACTTTACATTTCATTCACATCAAAAATTTAAGTTTTAGTTCCAAGTCTTCTTATTCCAGTCTAGTAAAGAATACTGAACATCCTAAACATATGACAAAATAATAAAGTCAAGGTTTACTTACTAGCTTTCTTTGTGAGATGTGGTTGAAAGCGCTGGGAAAAGATAGTAAATGGATCTTAACTTAAGATTGTAGTATCAAACTACTTTGTCCAAGGTAAATTTTTAGCTATATATTATAATGTATACAAATTCTTAAAAAGGCAAGTGTTCAGTCTGACCTACAGGTGCTAACTTGTCAACATGATGAATGCCATGATTTCATTAGGATAAGATACTCCCATCAGCCATAACTTCATGACCACTGACAGGTAAAGGAAAGAACACTGATTAGGTCAAATTACAGACAATGTTGATGCTCGTTCTAGAACAGTAGAAAAGTGTCAGAACCATACAGTCTATGGTCAGAACACACAGTGCGTACATAGTGGAGTCGATTCTTCGACGGGTCAGGGCTGTTTTGGTGGCAAAAGGGAGACCTACATTATGACCAGCAGGGGTTAATGATAATAATGTTATGGCTGATCGGTGTCCAATTCTTGACCGGTACATCAGTGGCCATCTCTTGTTCATTCTTCTTCTGACCTTTTAACAGTACTGAACATCCACTTACATTGTGTGAGTTGCTCTTTACATGCTACCTCCATCAATACATCCATCTGTAATTTAATTCACAGCAGTGGTAGTGAACATAAGTAGGTCTTCTGTCTTTAACATATAACAGCTTCTCTGGAAGGCTGGGTGGTGCAGTGTAATTGCTGTGTCAATCTGACAGTTAAAGGAAATAGCTCTTATTGGCTGTTCCTTTTGTTGTTTTGCAGCCAAAGCAGCCAAGTACGGTCCATTGCAGGGTTTCCTTGGTGGTGCAGGAGGAGGAGGAGGAGGAGGAGGAGTCTACAGAGGTAAAAGACAACACGACTTATGCCTCATCATCTAGACCAAAAGATGTACACATATGTGTGTGCATTATCAGACTGAACTGTTATTCTGCTGGTCTTTGCTGCAGGTGGAGTTGCAGGATGCCAGGGCAAATACTGTGGGAGGAGGAAGTAGAGGATCACTTGAGACACAGCGTGACCTCAAGAAACCATGGTGCTACTGCATGATCTAGAATGTACATTTTATATGCAAACAAACCCCATTAGAAAAGTGTAAAGATGTTGTTTTGTTTTTACTTACTTGACTTAAACGTCTGTTTTAATACAAACCCACCGACCCAGAATTTTGTACACGTTCTGATGTGACGTATGTTACTGATAGTGCCTTTAATCATTAATGTGGTCAAGTTAATCAGCTTTAACTCCGCGCACTGCACCAGACAAAGAGTGTGTTTGTGTCAGCATATGTTTTTCTTGTGCATGAATGTGCGTGTGTTTTGTACTGTTGTGCGAAAGACTGTCTGAACAACCGGCTGCCAATGTGACCTATGAACGATTTCCTCTTTGGTTTTAATCCTAAAGCAAGGTGAGCTGTCCTTAGTGCTAAAGCCTGCACTGTCTCACCTTGTCAGGCAGAGCTTCTCTGTCATGCCACAGGGGTTGGGTTGGTCGAGGCTTGTCCAAAAATGGTTGAAATCTGGCCAATCTCAGAATCGTTTCTGGCTCCCCGTCTTCTCCGCTGCTATTTTTAGACCTGCTGGGTATAAAGCAGCGGGAATCGGGGCTCCGACCAACCCATCTGCTCTCAGTAACTTTGCTGATTCTAGTTGCTATGCAGTTCAGTTTTCTCTGCATTTTTATTGTTGCCAAACCTGTGATATATGAAGAGCAGCTTCTGCTCTGAGGAACAACAATCAAAGAGTGTTTAAGTCATTAAAGGATGTTAAAAAACCACGGGAAAGCCTTTTAGTTCCAAGTAGATTCAAATGTATTTCAGATGCTACTCTGGCATGTTGTATGTATCATGTATGTATGAATGTTTAATTATGTGTCGCTGTCCTGAAGTCTGGGATGGAGCGCTTCTGTCTGTTTCAAATGTTTAGTCTCATTGCAGCAGTTATTTACATTTATGTAACTTGTCATTACATGATTATTCAAGATTTTGTTTTGCACCATGATTTGACTCATAGCTTTATTGTTATCAGGAACGTGTGAACATAAAACAAGAACAGTCCTTTGCTTCTGCATTTATTCACTGTTTAGAATTGTAATACAGAATAAGACTTTGTTTAATGGGTGTGTTTATGTGTGGCATAAGCTCCCATTGTTCTTCATTTACTTGAGCTGCTTTTAAAAAAGGCTTACTGACCAAAGGTTCATGAGCGCTGTTGCCAAAGTGACTCCATCTCTTTCTGTAACTGTGTACTGTATTTTGTACTAATTTGACATTAACTGGCTTCAGTTCCTTTACTCTGTGCTCTGTAAGAACTATCTTTGAGCCTCGCTGCGTCAGACCTTGTCTTTTGTGCCGTGGGATACTCTTCATCTTTATTTAAAACTGTTTTTATAAGGAGGATCAGTGTGGTTTTGCACTTTTTATATTTCCACGACACACATGTGACTTGTTCCTGGATATCCCAGCATTTTATTTGCTTCATTAAATAACAAAATAAAATGTGTTAAAATATCTTGTCTCATCTTCCCATTTCTTTTAAGTTTTTTTTTTGTATAAGAGCATTACACAGCAGCAACTTGTCCTGTGAGTTGATCAGAAACACCTGGCCTGGGCCTGGGGTGTCCTGGTAGATCCGTTTGCAATAAGCCACATACCACATAGTGATAACATCTCAGGCTGTTCAAGTCCTGTCTGCTCGGGACCTTTGCTACATCTCAGTTCTGCCAAATCTTTACTGTCTCTCCCTCTGGGCAAAAGGGATAGTGTATTTTAAAATCTCATATGTCTGATTTGGCAGAGTTCTTTATTGTAATTACAACAAACCCCATATTAAGGGCAAACATTTTGTCTCAGTGGTGACTATAAACTGTTCTTGTTGTGCCAGCTGGAAATAATGAACTCCTGCTGCCGTTCTCTGAAGATCTCCTGGGAGAACCATTGACCCATGATCATGTAAAAGTAACTTATACACTGTTGTTCCATCACCTTTAGTCGTATAATGTTGCCCCACTTCATAAATACTACAGTGTGTCTATTGATCTGCAGTATACGTTTCTGTGCTGGTATGCATACAGTATATTTCAACAAAACTACAAACCCTTTTGGCTTCATCACTTAATATTTCAACTTATACCAAAGGAGATGTTTGTCATGTCCTCATAATTTCTTGAAGCTGCCACCATTATGTAACTGTAAATGTCACTGATTTCTTAAAGAACTGCTCAATTTAAACCCAAAGAAATATTTATCAATAACTTTTTACTTGGTCCTATTTGTTGTGCGCTTGCCCGTAGACTTTCAAAGGACTCACACTGAAAGATTCAACTACTTTCAGATTTTACAATTTCAATTGCTTCCACTTGCACCACTTCCACTTTAGCTGATTTCAATTTGTTTTACTGCTTACACAACACATCAACTGCTTTTATCTGTTACCCTTCAATTGACATTTCTATTGCTTTTATCCCTTACCCCTACTGAAACAGTTTCCAGCGCCTCCACTTTGTCATATTGCTTCAGCTGACACTTCAGCTCCTTTGTGCTTCAACTTCAGCTGTAATTTTCACACATTTCATAAATGTAAAACATGTTTACATTTTCAAAGACTCAGCCTTGTTAAACATTTTAATTTGTGAACGATTCAACCATTTTAAGCGCATTTATTTTCTTCAGAAAATTCAATTCAATTCAAGTTGAAATTGCAAAAGAAGCAAGGCTCAATTATCATATCATTATTTAGCAATTACTGAACCCTCCGTAGTGTTTACTGCACTGCCTTCCTCCTGACCCCTCCTCCCCGCCCTAATGCATTAATTAACCGGGGAGTGTTCCTGGTTGGCCGGCCCCTATCCCCTCTCCCGGGCTCAGCGGCTTCATTGGTCAGCAGCTCTCTTGAATGAAGCGCCGCAGAAACGTGCAGGCAGGAAGAAGCTGTGTGTGCCGCCGCAGGGAGCGACCGACGCACAGTAACACGACCGCCGGGCGGGCTGCGGTGGTGGTCGCACACCGGTTATCTGTCGACCAAAGGCGGCTGGCTCTCTCCCGGAGCTCGGTGTCGGTGAGTGAATGAGATTGATGCTGCTCTGCTGCACCTGGAAGGACGAACGCATGGGAGAGGAGGAAGGTAAGGAGTTGCTGGGTGCATGCGGCGGCGGGGCGGGAGATGCGGGGACAGCGGTGTGTTCTCTGCTGCTCAAAACACAGAGGATGCTCCACCGAAACTGGCAGTAAACATTCAGCTATGCACTGTCTTTTCTACCTGGGTTGTCGTTGTAGTGTCTGTCACACACAGACAACAGTGTTGCATTGGTGTATCTGCAGGGAGCGTCAGGCTGCACGTCCATATCGTGCTGCAATTGAAGCCATGTTTTCTCTCCGAGTTGATGCACCCGTCATGTTTGGGTGCAGTGTTCAACCTCAGGCCATGCACAGTATTCTTTTGCAAGCAATCTTCTAAGACAAGCAGCCAAATAGATTCTGCTTATTAATAAGTTGTTACATTAATAAATGTAAAATGAGGTGTAATCAATGCTGCAAAATTGCACAATTGTAAATGGTGCAGCTTGAAGTTATGGGCTTGCCTAATCTAAAGCTCTTACACAAAGTTGAACTGAAATTAAAAGCAAATTAGGGGCTATTTCCGGATGTGAAGCTAATACATCAACAGATAAAATCCTCCCAACTTTCCTCATCTATTTCCTTGTTTGTAACTGGCAAAACTTTAATAATGACAATCAGTAGGTGATAACAGCCTTTTTGCCTCATTCTAATTACATTCTAAGTAGTATTAATAGAGAAATCACTCTAGATCAACCTGGGACCACTACCACTGCCTGTAAAATGAATATTGAGAGGTTGTGAGATGATGAGGGAGGGAAACCGAATAGATTTTTATCTCCAATGTTTGCTGTTTGTTTTGCCGTGACACTGTACTGTGATAACCCTGCTTCTGATCTGTGGCAGTGAACTTTAACTGTCAGTCAGGTTCACTGACTCTTCATAATAGATCTTTTATGGGATTACTCACTTTGCATTAGAGTGAAAGCTCATTTGCAGGACAAACTGCAAGCACCAGGTCCCATACCCGCATAGGTTCTACACTGTGTGTGTGTGTGTTTGTGTGGCTTTACTGAGGTATCTGTGTCCTGTCTGAGACCTTCGCAGACAGCAGAGGTCAAGAGGGCGCAATTATCAGGGAGAGAACGCGCCATAATGAAGAGATGAGGTGAAAAAAATTTATTAGTAAAGAAGTGAGGTGAAGGGAGAGGAGAGAAAAGCCATTAGCAGGAACCAGACCTGCCTACGATCAATAAAACTACTACAGCACGGTGGCTCACTCAGACATTACAGTAATAAGCCGACCGCACAAAACCTCTGCCAACACAACTTTCGCGTTGAGGGATGGACGGATAATAAAAGCAGCAGCATTACCTTTTCTTTTGGTACAACTTTGATGCACTTTGATACCGATATCCAGATGCTGTGTTGCAGAGGCTGAGTTGTCTGAACTGATGTTTAAGTTTACAGCTGTTTTGCATTTGAGTGATGTTGCTGTCTCACTTGTTTTAGTTTGTTTTTGCCAGTAATAACGATCCCATCTTATTATGGGTAATGGGTTGACATAATTACATTATTTAGGATTCCCACACATGGCGACATCAAATCTCATGTTAGAAGTTTTAATGTAAAAAACTGTTTTCATGTTAAAGTAATATCTGCTTTTATGAAGAAAAGGTGACAACATGCACTTCCTGTTACACGTGACAAAGTGGCTTGTGGATGATGCAGGATCAGGATCGCATACTTGCCAACATTTCAGGGCTTCAGGAGTGAAAGAACAAGAACAAAACGCTAATGGTGCACAAAGTTACCATATTCTTCCTCTCAAGGATTATAGTTCTGCCAATATTAGACACGCACACACAGAGTATGCCCTGTGATGTGTTCTCAGGCAAATGAACTGCAGCAAAAATATTATTGTCTGTGTGTCCTGTCCCATGAACAGATTTGCATCAGCAGAAAACTCACACACACACACTGCTTCTCTCTCTCCAGTGCATTACAGAATTAGTTGTTCTAACTCTGTGAAATAGCTTTTTCCTGAAGCTCTAATCAGAATTAACATTTTCCTCATTACAGAGAGGGAGGATCATTTCATGGAAACATTTCTTATCAAACTTTTAAAAAACGTAAAAACCATATCTTTGTTTTTTAATGTCAGTTATTCTAATGTTTGTGTTGTTGGCACTTTTGAGCATAATTGTTGAAAGTGTGTATGCATGTTAAATTTACAGGTGTATAGCACATCACGCGTATCCCCTATCAGCTCTACACAGGCTTCTTCCCAAATCCTTTTATTTACCTTCAGGTAATTGCACAGATGCTACATCTAATTTCAGTGTGGTTCAGTCATGTAGTAGATAAAAAAACAACTATTACATGTTATTGTGACGAGAATATTCTGGATTAGTTTTAAACAGTTTGAATCGCTGGCTTAATAGCTGTTCTACTTAAATTATAATGTTTCCTTTCTTGATTTTGATTTAACTTGATTTGAGAATTATTTTAATTCAGTAGCAGTTAGACAAAACTTTATTACATAATACAGTAAATTCATTAAGTAAAGTGCAATAAGGTTTAATCTACCTGTTTTGGTAGCTCATAACCTAACCAAATCAGACTGCACCTGCATAGATCTGCACAAGGGCAAGATGTTAAAAGTAAATTTGATGCCTTCTAATGATGTGGCCTAAGAACTTTGCAGGAGTGTGATTATGCAAAAACCCTGGAATCTATTCCAAGTAGCTACATGCAGATCAATAACTAGACAAAACACCTACAGCCCCCAGGCTTCCCACAAAATACACACATCCCACAAAACACCAGTCCTCAACTAGGGTTGGGCCATGCGATGGTAGAAATTCTGTAATACCGGTTCCACCGCACAAGCTATCCCTTAGTTTCTCTGCTATATATTTTGGGGGCCGGCTATGTAGCTAATCAGAGTTGGATTGTGGATTCTTGCACAATATCGCAAATACAGCTGCTTCACAAGTCAACGTGATTTGGCCAGCAACTGTCCTCATCGGACAACAATAACATGTTTAAATGTTCAAAACTTTGAGGCAAAAAGTCTTTACTTCACTAAATATTATGATTTTAAACCAAACACTGAAGACTTCACATCAAACGGATCAATCGTTACACTGCTGCTGAGTAATACTCATTAAAATTGCCTGTCGGCCAACTGCAGACACCAACAAACACGGAGCGGTTCACTGCTGCTGATATTCATGTTGCCGGTCTGTCAGTAATGATGAAGGATTCTCAGATGTGTGTTTGATATCTCGAGCTTTAGTGAGGATCATTAACCAGTGCCGGTGATTTGCATTAAAGGCGATATAAGGACAGAGATAACAAGCAAACATCAGCAATTATTACATGTCGTTATTGATTTTATGCACAGTGAGCTGTAAAATGGTGGACATCAGAGCATCCTTTGACCTTGTGTG